ATATATATATATATATATATATTATCTTATTAAACTTTAATTAGTCAAAAGGTCTGAATCTAAAATTTCTAAAAAAATTAAAACTAACCTCATCAAATATCTGATCATAGATTAGTGTTAATATAAAATGTCCTCTTGTTTTTCCTGCAATTCTGTGTTTAAGCATAAGATATTGTCAATGAATAATATAACCAGATAATTCAAATTTAAAAGTTAACATTTTGTTACACTGAAAATGTATTTCTGATAGCTCTTCTCACAGAATAGCTTTTCTTGATTTGTGCTGCCCTCTATATGCATAATTTTTGATCACCACTAGCTTTGATGCTCCCACCTATCCTTATATGTTTACACATGGTATAGTTGCACTGTAGCATGCAATAACACTCCACCAATAGGAGTGTGACACACCCTCCTGGTGCAGCTGACTCCCTCTATACAATCACTACTTCAAGAACAGGTAAGGAAGATGCACTGGAAGTGGGGTAAATGAGTGGTAAGTAGTATCCATCAGAAATACATTTTCAAAAGTTACCTAGATGAGCACTCTTCGGAAGATGCCCAAAGAGAAACTATGTAGTGAGACACCCTAATATATAGCATCACACTAGTAGAAAGCTGCACCACATCTGTACCAGGTATACTCGTCACCCATTGTCAGTATATGTGTCACTAAATCTGGCAGAAAAGGTGTACATCCAACCTGTAATTAGATGCACCAGATGATGTACAGTGGCTAGGGCACATCAGACCATATAATCGGTGGGTCAACTCCATTCCAAAACCAGGTGGTATCAGGTATTTGTCTTCTGGTCTGTGGTAGGAGGAAGATCCCAACCATCTTCATTTTAAAACCAGAAAGCAGAGAGAAAAAACAATTTCCCTTCCAACAACCCAACCAGAGCACGTGTGCAGACCCAGTACACAACCAACACCTGGAAACACAACATCCAAGCAAGAGTAGGAAGGGGAATGCAAACATTGCGGGCTCCAGTCCAAAATCAGGTGGCATTGGAAAATTTTTATCCACTGTGTAGGAGGAGAAATTCCCCTACCAACCACATGTGCGAGGACTTATGTTGGCTGGTATACACCGATCCAACACCAAACCACCTGGAAACCAGCTTACAGGCAGCAGTATGGTGGAGAATGCCAGCCAGAGCGGTGAACTGAATGTAGTGGATTCATCCAGTCCAAAATTAGGTGGCATCAGGTATTTGTCTTCCGGTCCACAGTACGAGGAAAATACTAACTATTTACACCAACAGAACACCACAACCCTACTCTCAACTGAATGGAATTGGTCACACTCAGGAGGAAGCCTCCATGGTCCACCACCCCTGCAATTAGAAACTGATAAGTGGCAAGGACTCCCGTACCCCATTTGGAGAGTGTGGGGGATGGGGGATAACAATGCAGTGGGGAGTCTAGCAGAATGCAGCACCATAAGACAGGGCATTGGGTTACCATGAAAAACCCTGTTTAGAAAAGTAAGCTGGTCCAATTTATTCAACTAGGAGTGGAAGAATGGACAGCAATCCTGACACTGATAGTTCATGAGTTGATATGGTCTGGTACAGGCCTTAGTTATGAAGCAAGATACCATGAGGCAACCTCTAGCAGCCTTGTGGAACACCCCTTCTCTTCAGTGAGCATTATAGACTTGTACAGCCATATAGTGCAGATTTAAAGTTATGTATATCTGGACAAGCACCACTCGCCACAGAGTGAGCTCCAAGATTGTATAAAGGGACCACTGTAAAAGTAAAAGATAAAAAAGTGGCCACTCACCTTGCCATAGCCTATAAGGGGTACGGAGAATGGCAAAGTGCAGCAAGAGATAGCCAGATGAGGAAGAGGTGGCCAAATGATGTAGGTAATGCATGGCAATAGTGTGGGGGTAGTCCACATGCCAGCCTGCACTATCTTCTCTAAAGGACAACAGAAGTGAACAGCCAAGAAAAAGGTCAGATGATGGAAACTTGGAAGATGCAATGAGAATCCTTGGACAATAACACATATCCAGAGAAACAAGTTGAAAAAGCCATCTGGCAAAAGAAACAGGAGAGAAAACCTGGGTAGATGAGGAGTTCCATGAGATAAAATGGCAAGAACAGGAGCTACAAAAAAAACTGTGCAGGCTACATAATAATGACATTATAAGTCTTGAGGGAGAGATGGTACAAAGAGTAAAAGGCCAAAGGATCCAATCTGGTAAGGCAACTGAACAGGGAGGATGAAGCAGGCAAAAAGAATGAAATAGGATAGAAATGACAAGAGAGGAAAATATAAGGCAAAAACAGGAAAAACAAGAAGTACTGGATAATGCTAACCTATTGTTGAAGAGCCAAGTAAAAAAAAATAGGAAAGGTGGAGAATAGTTGGTTGCAAAGAGCAATGACTGAAAATGTGCCATTTATGCTGATACACCAGCAAGGAAGAAGAGCAGACAAAACGAAAAAGAAAGAAGGCTACATGCATAGAGAGTCCAGAATGTCTCACAAGGGATCAGACAAGAATGAAATATGGAGGAATGAGATTGCTGGAGAACGGGTTAGGAAAGAGGAAGAGATACGGGAAAAGATGAGTGAAGAAGGTTCAAAAGTGGAAACCACAGTTGTGCAGGCCAGAATGGAGCAATGAGAATGATTTAACATGGAGTGGTTTGAACAAGAGGGAAAATATGTGTGAAAGAAGACAGATGGGAAGATAAGTATACAGGTATAGATTGGACTAATCTTGACTGAACACATCCACAACTAAAGCCAGAGGATGCAGAACCAGAGACAAGAAAAAGAGAAAATCCAATGAAACTCTAAAGTATCAGGAATACCACCAAGAGCAGACTGGCGCAAGAAAGGAGTGAGGCAAACGTCATACAGAAGAAGCAGGCACATGTGACAAAAGAGCATCCTTGCTAAGGAGATCTCAACAACAAAGCAGCCAAGTATGGAGGGATAAAGCAGAAAAAATAAATGCACCAACATAGAGAAAGGAAAGGCATGTATATCTTCCAAAAACTCTTCAAGGGAACAGTGCATAGCTTCAGAAAGGAGGTGTATAGATGACAGATAACAGGGGATAGTCGTGAGGATATGACAAAAACAAGAGAACATGGCAGGGGAAAAATGAAGGGTAGTAGCAGGATCAGAGTCCCATGTCTGAATCATTGATTCTAAGGTCTGAGAATCGAGAAATAGGAACTCTGATCAATGTATGCCAAAGCATGCTTGTCAGCCAATTGTGTGGGCTAGCCATGCTGGTACTTGAATGCAGCTGGGTATGGAATTGTTCAGCATGGACACAAATATCTGGTGGGGTGGGGGGACAAATAATTGGACATGGGACCAGAATGAAGGAGAGGAAGGTGGGGAAGAATCATATGAAATAGGTGGAAGAGACAAAAGGTAACAAACCTGAGAACTCATGTCCAGAAAACTGAGGAAGATCCATAGGGGTAGACCAGGAAGGAGCTGCAAAAGCAGGAAGTGGAAAAAAAGCTGTCCAAATCTTCATCATCAGAAACAGATTTTCCAGAAAAAGGGGAGATCCAATCACAGCTAAGGAGACATTGCAGGCCACTATAATTTGCAAAACATCAAGGCCAAGACCTCCACTGAAAATGTGGATCCCAGAGCAACAGTAATATTAAGTGTGGCTAGATCAGTTGTGGTAAGATCCATACCAGAAACCATAACTGTTACATGAAATTGAGAATTCATCATGTGGAAAAGAAAAGAAAAACTTTCCACAAGAAAATTTTAAAATATAAATGACAACAAACATAAAGTTGTCAGAAAGGTAGCAAAAAGTTAAAGTGAACATAAAAATACGAAATACCGAGTGAAAGTTTGGCACGATTGCACACGTAATGCTAAATTGAGAAGTGATGAGTGTGCTCTACAGTACAGAGGGAGTCAGCTGTAATAGGAGGGTATGTTGCACTCCTATTGGTAGATGGATGTTGCATGTTACATCTCAACTATACCACATGTAAACACGTGAAAGTAGGTGGGAGCATCAAGGCTAGTGGCAAGCAAAAGTTGCATATACATAGGACAACACAAATCGAGAAAAGCTATTAGGTGAGGTAACGTATTGTATCAGAATTGAACAATTTTTTCTTTTTACTTTATAGTAATAAAGGCTAATGAAAAAACTTCACTTACTAGAAGTCCTGAAACATTTTCTGAGCTTTGGAGGTGCTATATAAACAGAAAGATAATTGGATAAAATATTACTCTTACAAAAAAATCTGCTTCTTTTGTAAAAACAAAAAAAAATCATAAAACAACAAATCACTTGTTAGGTTAAAACTTGTTTTTATTAAAGTACATTCAAATGCTATAACTACATAAAACAAATTAATCACCATTTCAATAGATGAAAGAAAATGTAACATCTTCAACAAGACTAGAGCAAATTAAAAAAAAAAACCTAGGCAGCACACTGATTTTTTATTCATTTTTGAAGCTGATACAGCTCTAATACACATGACATATAAATAGTATCATAGTTGTTTTAAATGTGCAATGTTAAAACATCCCTTTGATATATAGTAAACAATCTAAAATACAATTTCTCACAACATGATACAGCTCCACTGGACTTAGTGTTTCAGGATCAACCATCTCGCTATCTATCCTTGGCACAAGATCCAGTCCCGATTGCCTACAAAACGAATAAAAGTTAGGTCTTTACAAGATTCATCACAAATTTTAAGCAGAGGCCTTAGAAAAAATTGTAAAATGTCAATAAAAAGTAATCTTGGTAGTCACCATAAATTTTTTATAAGCATCATTTTAAGCTTCTGTTAAATAATGTGCAAAAAAAAGTTATCAAACTTTTTATTTTTATCTATCATAAATCACTGCTGACCAAAGATTACCATGTCAGTTGAGTCACAGAAACCATACCAAAAAGATAGTTTGAACTTTATTCTCAAAAGCTCTTGGAATCATAATTGTAAAAAATAATATTTGGGTAAATGTAAAATCCAGGTAAGACAGTTTGTAATGCAACATTGTAGCATACTGTTGAAATGAAAAAAAAAAAAGCAATTGAATATAAAACTTATTAATGATCATTCCAGGTTAAGATACTGACTTAGCAAAATCTCTAAAACATAAAGTCCTGACATCAGAAGCATTACATAGAATCTTAAAACTAGAATACACTATCCTAAGTAAAAGACACCTACTAATATGCATGTTGTATAAGTTGCTTTCATTTCTTCCTTTTAACTACAAACCATGAAGGGTCAGAAAATGGAAAAACTAGGAACAGTGCATATTTTGGCAAATAAAACAGCATCACAGGAGGGAGAAAGTTTATTCATATATCTTCTGTTACTGATAAAACAAACTGAAAATGTTCCCAATTTTCAAGTTCTTCATAGAAACCAACAAGCTTATAAGCATGATGGATTACAGTATTAACCTACTCTCTTTTAATGAAAGTGCACATATGGCCTAGTTACTTTGCACCATAAACTGCCAAATCAACCAACCAACCAAAAAACATTATTAGAATAAAAAAAAATGGATCACTATTTTACTACATTAAGTTTATAAGCTTACCAGTTATTTTTACCTGCTAAAAAAGCTTTTTAATTTCTTTTAAATAATGTTATTAGCTATATCTTAAATAAATATTATGACCCCTTAATTATGCAGTCTGATGAGGTCTAATGACTCATATTCCTTGTTTTAACTACTTTTGAAAAACTAATAATAATAAACAACTTGTACAACATACATTTCTACCACTGCCTCTTAAAATTGTTTTTATAGCTTATGTACATGTTAAAAGTTATTTGCAGTTCAATGACAAAATTCCTAAACTTCAATGCTATTGCATCATTTATTAGTTTGTGTCCTTGGTCCTATTTGTTCTGATTTCCAGATTTTGTGTCAGGGCTTGTAAAAGAGACCTTGCTAATTCAACATATTAAGCCTTAACAGTATTATGTAGCTTTTCTATATCATCAACTTTAGAATTAAGTAAGAACAAGAAACAATTACCAAAATTTATTTAAGCTCAAAATAACACAAATATAGTAAAGTGAAAGATGAGAAATTATGAAACCATTCTCCTTAGCAAATCCTAATCACTGTAGCTATACTCATACAAAAGTTTTCATATTCTTCTTAAAAACTACAGAAAACAATACAGCATGATAAAAGATAACCAATTCTTGTTCTTCAAGTGTTCCAAAAATTTTGTTTTGATTATAAAGACATTGTACACATTAACAAGGAAAAGCTAAGTTACAAATTCTCATTATGAAGCTTCTACACTGACAAAAGTACCTATTTCCCCAATCAATTTTGGCAGTGATCTTTATCTTGACTTCTCTTATCTGGTCTTGGGTAAGAGTGCCAGCTATTATCTGGCGTCGCCATTCCATTAGGTCCCACATAACACCCTGTAGTTGGGAAACTAGAGTGAGCTCTCTCCTCTGGAAAATAAATTTGTTTTGGATGTTACCATTGTAGAACGGTAGTGAAAAAGAACATTTGCCAAATATTTCATCAAAACAACTGTAAAAGAGCACAAGAAGGTAATAGCTAAAAAATCATATACACACATAGAACAGAGTTCACACATGGTTCCAAATTTTTAATTACTACAGTCTCCTTTATACACTATGTTCTATATTCTTTGCTAAGCAAAGAATGCTGAAGTCTTTATCATTGTCACAAGATGCCCAGTTATACATGTTTGAAGTGTAGGTAAATACTGGCATGATTTTCTTCACTCGGTTTGAGATGTTCTTGGAATCAAATTATCAGATGGCATACCTTAGAACCAGTACAGACCTATTTACAACTGGTACATATAAATTTGTAAAGAACATATAACAGACAGTGTGGAATAGAATCTTTCACTTTGAAAAATTCTTTAATGCATAATCAAGTTTTAGTGAAATTTGTGGATAGGAAGATTTGAAAATGTTCAATATATTTTTCTTTATTTTAAAACTTAAAAAATCCATACACAGAAATACTCTTATCAGAAGTAATTCATATACATGAAACACTAGTATTTGGGAGATGTTCACTTTTTCTGAGAAAACAGTGTTCTGGACATAATTTTTGATGTAATCAAGTTCTAGATAGAATGACAGTTTTGTATTTATTATTTTAAAGGCTCTATCTACCTACACTTCAACATGTGTAACATTACACCTTGCAATAAAGACTTCAGCATTCTGCTAACCAGAGAATAAAAGAAAAATGCTGATAAAGGGCACTTTATTAACTCTATGCATATGGTATCAGTGAAATTGACTGACCTTGTGACCATGAAACTATGCATACCTTAACTCTGAATGTACTATGTGTATCTTCACAAATTTTGCAAATTTTTGGCAACATTACAAGTCCATTATACATATAAAATCAGATTCTTTAATGAAGTACTTTTACTGAAGATTTGTCAGTGAATTTATGAAGCCTTTGCTACACCAGTTTGAGTGAAATGTGATTTTCATACTTTTTCATCTTACAATTTTCATATTTCATTTGCATAACCTCTAGAATTTAATTGAATATCAAAGTTTTTTATAAAACTATTTTATCTTTTATTTTCTCTACCCTAAAACTAAGTATAGTGAAAAGTTGAAAAACATGAAATTAAAATTAATAATACTTTTTTTTTAATTTTCTTTGAATGCAGACTTTATCTCAGATTTTCAAATTATTTATCTGGTTTATTTTAATTATAGGGTATTAGTGCTGAGAAGTTTATACTTTTTTACATTTTAATTACTTTTATTAAGAATATATAAAAACATACAAAAACAAAGATTTACTGCACTCACTTGTCTTTCACTTGACGCCATTCTTCTCTAAGCCTCATTGAATCTTATAAATTAGGATGTCCGTGAAATGATTCATACAACTTTCAAATACGCATTTTAGAACACAAAAACTTGTCAGTCAATAAAATAGAATGTTCTGAAACTAATATAATTTATCTGGTTTTCTTAGTAAATTATAAGTAGGTTAAAAAAATATGTTTCTATTTAGAGCTGCAAATCTGTTTAATACAAACCCAACAATATCTCTCAGCTAACATCTTTCACCACAAAAACTAAACAAAGCATCATAATAGTTTATGTAAAGGAAAATGTGCTCTTTTTACTGGTTATAAACACATCCATCAGCCTGTAAGGTAGAATAGCAATCAATCTTGAAAATAAGAGAGAAATGTGGGGGCTTCTCTGATGAGTTTGGCAAAGTTATTGATATTTCAGCAAATCAAAAAAGGTTCAAATTTTAGATTACTACTTATAGTTACATGTAGTTTTTTGTTTCTAGTTGGTTGGTAACTATCGCAATTTATTATAGGGTTAACACAAATTAACTCAGTAAAGAATTTGTAAATCACAGACAAATCTTTAGTAGAAATACTTTATTAAAAACTGATGTTTTAGGTACAAAACTTGTAACTTTTACTAAAGTTCACCAAATTTTGTAAAGATACACTTAGTACCTTCAGAGTTATAGTATGTATAGTTTTAAAATTACATGGTGGTTACAAGGTCAGCCAAAGTGACTAGACCCATACAAAGAGTTAGTGCCAAGAGTATAGAACAGGAATCACGTCTTCATTAGACATGCATGGAAAATGATGCACACCATCCCAGAGTCCCCTTGAAGTCAACAAAATAAATGCTGCATAAGGTTTGTTTGCTTGTTTGTAATTATGCACAAAGCTACACAATGGGCTATCTGTGCTCTGCCCACCATGAGTATCGCAACCCAAATTCTGGCCTTGTAAGTCCGCAGACATACCGCTGTGCCACGTGGGGGGGGGGGGGGGCGCTGCATAAGGAGTGTGTTCATTTGCCAAAATATATATATTGGAATATCCAATGTCCAACACACACCTTTTACCTTCACATTTGTTCACTTGTTCCCACAAAATCTTTTATCAATTCACACTTCCTTATATTCTCTTTTCTTATATACTTTACATAGGTATCTTCTAGCTTGAACACATTTTTTCAACTTTCTTTGCCTAATGACTTCTTGAAATTGCTCAAATATCTTTTTTCTTTATATTTCTTCTCTCTTTACACTATCAAATCAGCCTTGGCCTATCTATTCTCTCTCTTCTTTTCATCCAAACACTTCTGTAGCTAACTATTATATTTTACTCAGGGTCTTCCTCATCCAATTCTTCTCTATTCATTGGTCCTCATACTATCCCTTCTCAAGATTTTTTTATAAAATTATTCTTCCTCTCTTTTAATCTACTTCTATTTTTCTCCTTTATTCTTGTACATTTAATTTTCATAATTATTGATAGGTGATTTCATTTAGTTCTGTCTTCTCTCTTTATTCCTTCTGCTAACATATCTTCTTTCACAATTACCTAATCCACTACTCAAATTCCTCTTACACATATATATGTCTTCATCTCTTTATGGTTACCAGTTCATTTTGCTTACAGATCTTTCTTTAACCTTTTCATTTCTTTATCCACCAGTTCATCATTAGATTTCCTTTCCCTTTGCCATTTATAATCATTTCTTTCTTTTTCCTCACTGCTTTCTTTATTCCCAAATATTATTCAATATATGCATTAAAATTTCACCTTATTGCCCATCCAAGTAGTTTTCTGCTGTCTTGCAAAATTTTTCAATCCCCTCATTGTTGTACACTGTCATTATAGCTTCTTTTCCTTTTTTATACTTCCATATTTCCCCCCTTATTTTGTTCTTCTTCAACCAACCTATAGCACTAAGTTCAATCTCCCTCTTTAATCTCTCTATCTGCTTACTATATTATCCATTCAAGCTTTAGACACAATTTCCTCACATGCTCTTCATCATTTTTTGTTCCATTCAAGTTTCAAAAAGAATGTATTCTCATTTTCAATTTACTACTAAAATACTGTTTTTATTATGTAATTTTTCTATATTATATATACAAGAAACCATTTTTATCCTATTTTTACTTGATTGTAAGTTTTGTTCTTTCTTCTTCCTCCAACAAATTCACTTCTCATTCAAATTCTTTAAAGCCCTTGTCTTTTCTTAATAATTACACGTCTCATGTTTTCATCTCCTTCAAATTCTTGTCCTTTCTTAACTATATTGTCAAACTTCACCATTCTTTTCTTACTCTTGTCTTCTTTTTTTGCTATTTCAAGCAATTTCTTCCTCACCTCTCATACTTTCTTTGAAACATCATCTTCTACAAATACTTCCATTCCCTCAAATCTTCCTCTTCCTTTCAAAATTACTGATTTTTTTCTATTTTATATTTCTCTTTCAAATCTAGCTATAATCAGTTTTGGCCATTTTCCTCCTTTTCATTTAACCCCATTTGCTTTACTATTCCCCCACTATCAAATCCACAACTTTTTAGCCAATTCTGCAAACTTCTTGTCTCTTTCCATGTCTCCAGTTCTTTACTCTTAATCTTCATAAAACCTAAATTCTGTCTTCTATTCCTATTTTCCATTTCATTCTCTTTTACTTTCCATACTTGTAACACAACTTTTAAATTGGCTACCTCTTCCAGCAGCTCCTGCTTCTCTTTCCTACACTCTTCTCTCTCCCTCAACTAAGTAGCTTGCCTAATCTCTTCCTTATTTACTGACTCCCTTCTTTATCACTTTGAAAACTTTTAATATAATTTCCCAATGCTTCCTCCTTCTTCTATATCCATATCTTCATTTCTTCTTTTTTGACTTCTCTTTTCTTGTTGCCTTGTTATAGATGAAGGTGATACTTCTGTGCTTCAACTAAATGCTTCATTTTCCTTCAAGTCTTCTTTAAGTATAAACTTGACTAAGTGTGATAAAATGTCTGTTCTTCCTTTTTCTTCCAGTCTTTTTTGTTGCTATCATGTTCCCATTATCTACCAATTTATTTTCTCCATAATAACTCTATACTTTTTTTACCATGTGGAACTTACCTTCTTCTGGACCTTATTTTCTTCGTATTTCTTTACTATTTATCTTCTTAAAGTGTACTAGCTTTGCACACTCACTTCAATGTGTCCCACCCGCTTTTAATAGTCTTCCTCCTTTAAGTCCTCACTGCTTGGTTGGTTACTTAGGATATATCTTCAAATGAACAATTATTCCTTCAATGTTTTTGCTATACTTTATAATCCATTTCAACACAACTTCTTTTTGTTTCACCCATTATTATTTTTCAAAATTCATTCTTTTTCATGGAACACCAAACAAATGTGTCTGTCAACATCTTATGTCATACATTGTTTCTAGAACCCCAATCTAGTATAAGTTAGTATACAATTCATAAGGAAAAATATATATAGTACCAAGCTTACTTCATTTATAAGTATGGCCAATGGCACTGAGCAAGACATGGTTTTCAGCATCAGTAAAACCTAAAGTGCTTTCATGATAAACATAAAAAGGATGCAAATTTTCTGTAACTCTATTTCTTATATTCATTTTATAATTATTTTTAATATTTCAAATAACAAGCATTATTCAACACTGATGAAACGAATTTAATATTGTTCCAATGTGGTCTGCCAATCTAAGCTTGTTTGATTCTATCTGGATTGATGGTCACCTTTCAAATATCAAGTGCTCATTGGCATACCAAATTTCAACAGTTGTGTAACACTAACTATTTCAGCAATATTTAACTCAAAAATATTTTAGAAATGAGTTCTGCCATTATACAAAATATGTATGTAGCATAACTTATGAATAAAAATTACAATTTTCATTTCTGCACAGCCCAAAGAGCCTTTTTCATTAATGAGCCTTAATTCTATGTGCACAGGTGGAAGTCAAGTCTGCATGCCTCAACGTTATACAGAATACCATTCAACATGGTATAATGAATTTGATGTCAGAGTTATCAATTCTTTATGTTAACCTACAATGCTTATTTCACAACAATTCATGTTAGAGTACAAAAAACACCAAATACAATATACAGAGATACTGAAAAAAACCCTTTAAATATGCATTTAGAAGGCTCTAATAGGTTATGCAAATACAACTTACAAACCATACAATGGAAGAAAGTATTTTTATTCTTCACATGAACATCATCTTGTACTCCGAGGTGTCGGAGTCTGAGTCACACTGACTCTATCATTTCACAGGCATCTTGAGTACAAAAACTTTATTAACACATCTGTACTATTTACTAAAAGCTTGCAACATATTGTGAAGATACAGTTCATAAATCTGGTGTTATAGTCAACATTACTTTTCCAATACAGAGTCTGTCCATCAGATTGACCCTGTACATGTTCAGTTAAACACTCTTAGTTATTGGTTCTTTATTCCTGCTCCATTAACTTCATTTCTTTTATGTATTGGTACATTGATACAACAATATCAATGTATTTATTGACTGTTTTAAATTTTCTGCCCATCATAAAGTAAAAAGGTTATAGTTGTTCAAAAATTATCCCTTGAAAACAATGTTTAGACAAAAATTTCACTCCCTTACCCCCATTTCAGTAAATATGCTTTTATCTATATTTTTATATTACTAGGCCAAAGATAACAATAAAATAACAGTGAATACTTCATGTAATGATAACAAAAAAAACTCACCACATACAATCTCTTCCATATCACGTGCCATTCTCTTAAAACACAAGCTACTTCCCGTACTGTTGGATCATCCACTGGAGTGACAGTTTCATACAATCTGTATAAAACAGTGAAAATCTAAGAAAAATCATGTATAGGTATTCATCATAGACAGTTGACTTAAGGAATTTGGTTCTTAAAATAAGCAACTACACCCAGAAGGACATTTAAAGAACTGAAAATTTTGAATGGATGTAAGATGAATGAATGTAAGTATTAATCACATTAATCATGCCATTCTCTTGTTTTCACACTAATGTACCTTACATTTCCTGCAAATATAATACTTCATCTACTTCTGTCAACATTTAACTGTGAAATATATTGTTGTAAGCTATATTTTTAATGTTTTAATTTACATGTTAGCTAGAGGGCACATAACATTAATAATCTGGTAATTTTAACTAATATCTAGATAAATGGACGTTGTTCCTAAATACAAGCAATAAGTGAATGCGAATTTACTGAATAATAATTGATATTTCAGTAAAGTATTCAGTTTGTGTGAATGATAAAGTTGTCATTGATCAAGTTAGAGCTTCTGTAAGCTAATTAGCAAGTTATTTAGCATTTGTTATCAATCAAGGATATTTCTGTTAAATATTAATAGTGTATTAGGCCCACAGTAGTTTCAGAGTTTAAGTTGAAAAGTTTGTTTGTGAAATTAGACCTACAACTTATGTCAAAGTGAACATTGCCTGTAGCAAATATTATACAATAAATTAATTCACTTTTATTACATGGACAGGATTTCACTTATTTTTACCAAGTAAATCCAAAGAACCCACCCAACAACAGAATGCATTACAAGAATATGTAAATAGTGCCACTGATGATTACTATAGGATCACTCCAGTGATAATGAACTGAACTAAGGACCTTTCATAACCAGACTGAAAATCTGAGTGAATACTTACCCTTCATTATCTATTCGAAAAGCTTTTAAATGGATAAAGGATGCTGGGAAAATTCCCTGGAAATTGAGAAAAAATTTAATATAAAAAACTGAAGTAGCTTCTAACTGTACACTATACAGATCTTTATATCTATATACTATGCATAATTGTACAATGTTATAATTTATAAAGTATATATTGGTTCAGTAGCAGTTAGCTGCATATATTTCAGCATTGATAAAAGTTAACATTTTCCTAAACTGAAAATGTATTTCCAATAATACTTACCTCTGCTGACCCTAAAGCTATTTCCTGATCTCCAGGATTTCCACTCTTTGTCCATCTAAGGATTGAAAATGCTTGCTCCAGTCTTTTATACCCCACTCAAATGCCCTTGGCAAATTCTAATTTGCAAATTTCTCCACCAACTTCAATGAGCCCTCTATCTATGTACTGTATATAAGCACCTCATTCAGATAATGTAATCACTTTTTTCAAGACATAAACCAGCTTGTAGTGTGGAGGTATGGCAGGAGAGTGTCAGCGGAGGTATGTATTATTGGAAATACATTTTCAGTTCAGGAAAATGTTAACTTCCAAAACATACTTACCTCTGCTGACATTATAGCTAGAATCCCACATTGAGAAGGTGGAGGGCCGGTGCAGGCATTAACCATACAGAAAGCTTCTGTATAAAGAAGTATACCAATATAAAGATGGTACAAGAGTGGGTGAACTACATCCAGAACAGGCATGCTCTTCAACAGGAACTCAGTTCCAATATCAAAGGTGGTATAAAATACAAGTAATTGTCAGTATAGGCCAGCCCTAATCAGCTAGCTGAGATTCCACAACTCAGGGTTGGAATTAAGGGGTCATGGTACTTATATCCCACATTGGTGGCTAGAGCTATTGGACTGCACTATTATATATACTTTTAATTGGATCCCAACCTGTAGCCATAGAGAGATATGTTTCACACTACCAGAATCATGACGAGAAAGTAAGCAACACAAAAGTGGACAAACTTTCTTCTCCACCTGAAGAAGTACAAAAGGCAACACCCTAGGCTTGGAATGAAGGAATCATGTATGCCATACTACAAAGGAAAAGAACTCATCCAGTCTGGAATTATGGACAAGGAGTACTCTGCTTGCCCCTGGAGAGAGGGCATGGAATCTGTACTCAACCAAAGACCTAGGATGGGACAACATCACGTTTGGAATTATAAGGAGGTACTAGACCTTATTCCATGAACAATATAACATTGATCAAAAAGAGAAAAGTCATGCACCGCCGAACTGGAGAGCTTCATGTCAAACCTGAACCGGGATTACGAGTAGGCTTCCGCAAAGGCTGGTGCCACTCCTACTGACATCTGGGGAAAACATCCACAGATCCAAATAGGAGAACCCCCAACTTCACCCTCTTCTTCAAGAGTGTAGGAACACACTTGAACACTATGGAGGAAAATCCTCTGTCCATCACCCCAGCAACTGGAAACTGTGGTGGTAAGGACTCCCAAACTCCACCAGTAGAGTCTGGGAAGGGGGGGGGGGGTAATATGCATCGGGAAGTCTTGAAAAACAGTGCTCTGGAAGCTGTTCAATAGGTGAACCAAGTTCCTACATTTTTAAAAGCAAACCAACCTTGATTTATTCAACCTGAAGATCGGCAGGGGTGGGCAAGATCCCCTTTAGCTTTACTCATGGTAGTCTATGAGTGGCATTTGGTAAGTGCTTAGATGTTCTTATGGAACACCCCATATTGATAGAGCCTGTTGCCACCTGTAGTAATTATAGTGAAAGTGTTTGCTAGTGCAGAACTGAAAGGAGAAAGCATATCTACCTGGGCAACACTCAATACAGAATGGGATCCAGTGAAAAATAAAAGGGGCCCTAATAATAAAAAGTATATGATTGAGGAAGTACTCACCCCTGATTAAAATCTAACAGATGTGGTCAAAATAGCTACATGGGGTAATCGAAAATCCTCAGAAGAGGAAACTGCCAGATCATGTAAGTAATAAGATAGAAAAGTATTAAAAGTAATTCACATTCCAGCCCCTATAATGTCTTCCAGATGGCAATTCAACCAGGCAGCTAATGACATAAAGATATGGCCAATCTGGTGAAAAGTGACACTCAAAAGATTCCTCTCCTGTAATGATAATCCATTATAGGCTATGTGAATCAATTTATGAAGCCACTGCGTCAGAGTAATTGTTGATAAGTCATGAAAAATAGTAGGATTCCAATGAATGAATAATCAATTCCTACTACCTCTAAATGAGTTAGTATGAGCCACATAACACTTGAGGGTCCTAACAGGACATAACAAACAATCAGGATCGGAGTGGCTATGAAGGTGAGAAATGGCTGGCAAATGAACTGGTGAGAAGGATCTTTCCCCTTCCTTAGTTGCCAGAGTCTTTGGAAGAAAAGACCTGTTGGGGTAAAGCAGGACAAATGTGGAATGATAAAGAGTCCAATGCACATGGATTGCAAACAACTCCGATCGCCAACGTCCACAAGCTAATAACAACAAAAAATACAATTTAAGAGAAAGGTGAAACAAAGAACATGAAGCTGAGGGCTCAAATGCAGGACGAGATAATGCGTGTAAAACAACTGTAAAATCCCAGTTTGGTAATTGAAAAGGTTGTTTGAGTCTAAGAATACAAAAGGATTTGAGTAGACCTGATAGCAACGAGGATTCAAAAACCTTTCGATATTTAGAATACTGAAAAATAGTGGATAAGGATGCCTTGTACAAAAGCTACTGTAGATGAAGCAAGACCTCTATCAAATACCTGACATTCCTGCAGATAATAAAGAAGTGGAAATCACATTTGAGCTGGCCAATATAGTGCAACTAAAAGAACTCAACAGAGAGTGGAATGAACCTTAGTCAGAACTTGAGAAAATAGCCAATTTGTGGTAAATGCATACAGATGCAAATCTGTCCAGTCCTGACTGAATGCATCTACTGCCAATGCCTGAGGGTGAAGTATCAGAGACCACTACAACTGCAGTTGAGAATTCCAATGAGTTGCAAAGGCATCGATCATTGAATACCTGAACTGAGAGTAAATATACTGAAAAACCTAATGATGTAGCATCCATTCCATCGGAAGAATTTGGTTGGGTCGAGACAAGTGATCTGCAATTAAACTCATCTCTCCTGGAACATGAGATACTAAAAGACTGATATGATGAGCATGAGCCCAGTAGAGAAGATCCAAGGTAAGAAAACAAAGGTCTCAAGAATGTGTGCCTCCTTAATGAGAAATTTGAGAAACCACTGTGGAGTTGTTAGAATGTATCATGACAACTTTTCCCCTCAAGAGAGACAAACCTTGAACCAAAGCCCGGTGTACTGCAAGGAGTTCAAGAACGTTGATATGAAGAGTAAACTCATCTTCTGTCCAAATTCCCTGGAACTCTGACCTTAAAGATAAGCTCCCCATGCCTGAAGAGATGCATCTGTGAACAGATGGATATCAGGATGAGGTGGTGGAATGAGTACTCCAATAGTAGTGTTGTTCCGATCTAACCACCATTCACAATCGATGATGTTGCTCTTGAGTAATGAGACAGGATGATCCAAAGGGTCAGAATGCATGATCTAATGGTCGTACAGTGACATCATATGTGCTCATCCCAAAGGAATGAGAGGTTCAAGGGATGCTCATATCCCCAAAAGAGAGAGAACCATTTGTATATTAGGAGAAGGAGACAGAAGTAAAAGCGTGACAGCTCTTTCCATGACTTGTAACCTGATAGGGGTTGGTTGAGCTCGACTTAAGTAAGTATTGAAAAACACACCCAGATGGACGAGATATTGCATCAGTGACAGAACAGATTTCTCCAGTCTGATAGGAAAAACTGCTTTTGTGACTTCTGAAAAAAGAATCTGACAGTGTTGTTCTGCTAATCGATGGGATGGTGCCAGAAGGACCCAGTCATCAATTTAATGATGAGTGCACAGACCCAAAGAATGCAGATGATGAGAAAAAGCTTGTACAACTATGCAGAAGACAACTATGCAAGACCAAAAGGTAGAGCCCTGAACTGCAAGACCTGACCCTTGTGTACAAATCTGAGAAACCTCCGAGAAGATTCCTCTATGGGAATATGGAGATAAGCGTTGGTAACATCAAACTTGGTCATCCAGAACCCTGGGGCAAGGTGCCATTGTAGGTTGAGAAAAGATTCCATAGTAAAGTGAGAAAGATCTAAAAATTGGTTGAGTCGAGACAGATCAACGATTGGATGCCAATCTCCTGTCTTCTTGGGTACAACAAATAAATGGGAATAAAATCCCAAAAGAACAGGATCAACTCTCTCTACTGCCTTTTTGATTAACAATTCTCTTATGGCCTGGGAACAAAGCTCCACTCGTCATGGATCTGTTGGAGATGAAAAAGCAACAGGTTGAGCAAATAATGGTGGAGGTGATGTAAACTGAGTGACCTACCCTGAATCTAGAACATGAAGTACCCATGGATCCCTGATGAAAGAGCTCAAGATGTCCAGAAAGTGATGTAATCATGCTCCCCTGCCCATGGGATAATCATCGACGGCATTGTCGATGGTCCATACGAGTCAAAGATCCTCGAGAATACGGACAGACTCTATTATGGGAACTAATAAATCTGGGAACCAAAGGAGGAGGTCAGGAACATTAAGAGCCAACACTCCTGAATTAGCACCATAAAGGCGAGAAGCTAACGATGATAAAGAAGAATGTAAATAAGCTGAATCAATTCGTGATTCCAACATCTCAGGAATTCCAGCGAAATACATGAAATGGAGAAAAGAAGCTTCACATAACTCCCTGAGAGCAGAAGACAGTAAATGAACATTTTCTAACAAGACGTCTCTATCCAGTAAATCCAAACAAGAAACCAGAGAAAAAAAACTGAAGAAGACAATCTAACTGAAGTAGACATCAGTCCCCAACTTGTCCTCAAATTGCTGAGGGGAACGTTGATAGGCTTCTGACAAAAGTTCGGTCTGAGATAAATACCTCAGGACAGTAGTGAGAGTAAGACAAATCTGATAAACTGTGATCTGTTCAAAGTGATCATAGGTTCCAATTTAGAACCCCATAGGTCCAAATGGGGTTCCATCCATTGAGAATCTAAATATACCTCCTCCTGGCACTGAAAACCCATAGCATGCTGTTCGGATAAACATGGGTGACAAGGCATAGCTATCCCATCATGTAACTGAACAGCAAATCTCCCAGCATGAACAACAATATCAGGAGAAGAAGGAAAAACCATGTCCGTTCTGCCAACAAGTAAGGAGTAGAGTCAAATGCAATAGGAGAGACCCCCAAAACCTCACAAACCAAGTAATCAACTGAAGAAAAGGGACTGGAGGTCGCTGATCAAGAGTATCCTCTGTTGAGGCTGACCTAATAAAAGAAGGAGTCAGAAAAAGCGAGTCTGAATTCTCTCCAAATGATCCTAAGTCATTTGAAAATGTTGCCTCAGAACCCCCTGGAGAGACACCTTTGGTCCACATGTATGTCTCCATCTTGCAATGGATCATATCATGGACAGCCTCGACTGAGAGTGACCCCTCCCCTGGCCATTGACAAACATCAGATAGCAGAGGCGGAAGAGAAGAAGTCTGTTTGGCCTCTGTAGTAGAAATATTAATTCAGGAATTCATACCCGACCAGGTTTGTTTCTTTTAAAATTAATTTATAAATATAAGGGAAGATATACTACAGTCACGCCAACTATGTCCAAAGTCGCAATGTAAATTATGTGAATAATCATAACACTTATGTTCATAGAAACCCATGCCAAATGCTTTGTCGATAAAAAGTGATTAAATTATCTGAATAAGGTGTTTATATACAGTACCTGGATAGATGGCGCATTGAAGTTGGTGGAGAAATTTGCAAATTAGAATTTGCCAAGGGCAATCGAGCTGGGTATATAAAGACTGGAGCAAGCTTTTCAATGCTTAGATGGACAAAGAGTTGAAACCCTGGAGATCGAGAAATAGCTATAGTGTCAGGGGAGGTAAGTATGTTTTGGAAATCCTTATCAATACAGAGAACCATTAAGATAAGGAACAGATGATTAGACCCCATTTCTAAAAAACATATTCTTTATCTTCATTGCAAGCAACTTTAAGAAAAACATTTTATACTTTCCAATAAATATGAACTTTAAAATAATTTAATTACTGAAAATAATGCATAAAAGCCAACAAAAGAGATTCTTATAAATACTGTGCCTGACACATAAACATGTCATCATATTATTGTAGATCATAAACATACCTTTAAAGCTTTGTTTCTTGTGGAAAAACCACGATACCAACCTAACAAGAAATAAATATTTTCTAATCAAACCTGAATTTATAAACTTTGATAGTCTTTCATAAACATCTTTTAACAAACAAAGCAAAGACACTGACAAGGCTACTGCAGTTGCCATATTTAAAGATCATTACATGTACTTGAAAAAAAAAAACAAAAAAAGGTTAATACATCATTATCTTTTAACATGATACATATAAAATACAAACTGGTTTATTATTAAAAAGTTAAAACATATCTTGTATCGTTTATAACAAAATGTTTAATAAAATAAATATTTGTAATTTTTATGAGTATTTGTTAACAATTTACCACTCAGATATTACTGATGCAAACAGTGTCACTTCTACAATACACCAAAATTAAAACTTAAGCATCAACTAGTTTACTAATGTTATATCATGAAATATTACTTGATGGAAAATAATATAAACTCAAAAAATAATGCTGAAAAATTTAGAATTAAAATAAAACCAAAGGAAACATTACAACACCAGTATAAAGGAAATACACACCCCCACATTCTTCTAAAATCTGCACAGTTTCACCAATCTCAAGAGGCAGGCCATACTTTGTATTACCATCATAATTGTACAGTGCTGAAAGACAAATAATGCCCTGAATTATAATCCTTGTACAAACAGTGTGTGTTACAATGTATGGTATTTTACTCTCATACAATCTACAAAACACACCAAGAATCTAAATATTTAACAAAAAAGACTGCTATACACAGACAATTTGTTTCTCAACAAATTACATGACTTATTTCTGTTTGCAAAGTTTGTTTACCTTTCTTTAGTGATATTTCATAAGGACAATGATTTCTTTGTCTCATCCTAATCCCAACGGCCAAGGAAAAGATTAATGCTGCTTTACACAGAACTATAGTTTGGTTTAGTATGTTTGGAAACATGTCTCTCATTTGATGCAACTGATAAGTAATGCACCTCCTCATTTAGAGAAATAGCTTAAAGTGCAGGTGTTAATACACCTCACATACCCATGCATTTGCATATTATAACAACTGACATAGCAATGTCCTTTCACTCATTTCAAATTTCTTCAAAATCACCATGCACTTTCTTTCCAACTGCACATAATTATCAATCTACTTAGTGGAAGAGTTCAACTTTTGTATTAAAAAAAAACTTTATAGCTTACTTAGGAAGCCAGATTATAAACTTTTGGGACATTCTATTCTAGTGACTGACATAGTTTTGTGTTCTAAAATATGTATTTAAAAGCTAAATTAATTGTTTATGGAAGAACAACTAAACTTTTTACCCAAGTGCAAAAGAGCTTGAGTACTCAGTAAGAACTATAAATCATTTTATATATGTTTTATTTATTGTTATATATTTTTTAACAAAAGTAACTAAAACAAAAATTAGGAACTTTTCAGCTTAGCTTAACAAAACTTCAGTAACATAAAATTTGACAAGCTTGAGAACTTTGTGAAACATTACACCCATGTGGCATATATATTAGCTCTCTGGGAAAGAGCTAATGGGCTCCTGAATAATTTATTGCTATTGGCATGAGAAATACTGCTTCAGTGAGTACAAAGGTGAGCAACAAAACAATAAAATTAAAAGAAGACAGAAGAATTTAAGAGGAAAAAGAAGTATTTGTATTCTTAATGTTAGAATAATAATGTTTCACTCTGACTGATTTACTAAAGGCATTGGGAATTCCCAGACATCTCTTTAGTAAAAATTAGGCCATATTGTGAGATCCATTATGGTGTCATTTCATTCTAAGAAGAGAGGAACTATCTTTTCCGTGCAGATTTATGTAGCCAATAACCTCACAGACCTTTTATTAAAAGTTCTACACAAAACAAGAGGGAATTCTCAATAGCCACAGCACTTGAAATTATATTAGACAAGATTAGAGTAGATTAATCTACGAGACATTTTTTAATTTTTATTTGCTATATTTTTGTGCACCAGCAATACCAAGTGTGTGGTGCACATAAACCCAATTATTTTATTTTATTCCTCATCAGGATCTCAACTTGCCTACCCTCAAATTGAAATTCTTTTAGGCAGGATTAGAGTAAGTTAATCTATGAGACCTTAAATGTGGTCCAATACATTAATCGAAAAGGTTTGACCTACTGAGTCCAAAACTGTAATTAGATCTCAAATAGGTCAAGAGAAGATCAAGCTATGAGCTCAAAGCTTTTATTTGAAAAAGAAAACTCAGAGCCATTCTATGAACCACTATGCAGCGGCTAAAAATGCTGCAGTTTATTGTAACAGCATATGCAAAGTCATCTGACCATTGACTAATTTTGTTACATACCTGCTAAAAATTTTTGGTTATAACTTCAGCAATATTTTCCTAATCTGGGCACAAATGATTCAAAATAATTAAAATATCTCAGAGAAACTACTGCAATGAAAACATAACATCACTTATATAGCTGTCTGTTGTTATAAACATATATATTAGTTGTCATATATGATTATATGTAGCCCAATGAAAATAATAAGCTATTAATTTGAACATAAACATCCAAAATAATAATCTAAACAACTGTTAACTTTGTTAAGTTCCACTCAGTCCACTTAGGGATATATACCACAAAGAAATGTACAACTATTATTTTGGTAATGCTCTAAGCTGCATGGCACAGATATTCATTTGACATATTTAAATTAGGCCAAGCTTAAAAAATTGTCAGATGTTGCTTATTCACTTCTGAGGTATGGTTAGGTATGTAGGTTGTTATTTTTTTGCCAGCAGTAACAATTGCCAAAGGCACAATGTCTCTCTAGGAGAGGCCTGGGGACATTGCCACCTGGAAGCTTTTTAATAAGGAAGTCACAAATGATGCATTCTCAAAGGTTAAATGATTATGCAGGAATTTGTTGTATCAATGATACTGCAGTATAAAACTATGCTACTTTTCTGGAAAGACAGCAACACCATTAGTCTGCATACCAGGAAATAACTCATATGATTACATTCACTTCACATTTCCTTTTGCACATTTACTGGAAGTGTATTGCTGATGCATACATAAACAATCACATAAACAATTGATATGTTTCGCAGAAAATGTTTGTTGATTTATAAGTACTTTAAAGACAATCCTAAGATGATAAGTAACGTTCAGAAAACTGAACACTTTGCAGAACAAAAAAGGCTATGTGGAGAAATGACAAGGCAAGTAAAAAAAAAGGGGGTGTCAAATTCCTAAAACAAAATGTTTAAGCCAGGCCATTTTCAGTGGGTCTCCCGCCAACATGAAACAAAGTTATTATTTTCTTATATTTAAAATATATTTCCAATAGGTACTTACCTCCCTCACATGTATAGCTATTCTCAGTCAGTGCTGCCCTCTATATGCAAAATATTTTGCATGCAACAAACCTTGAACTCCCACATACCCCACGATCAACATGGTTCCACTGCATCTCACATGTAAATCATCATGTGACAATCCTCCACCAATAGAAATGTGCAGGGAAATAATAACTTCCTATATGGTGCATTACCTCTTCTCACATGTATAGCTAGAATCCCACATTGAATAGGCAGAGGGACCAGTGCAAGGAATAGAAATAAGTCTCCTTCGAAAGCATCTGAAGAATACCCATGAAATATGATCCCCATTGGGAGAGGAACACACATGGGAGACTGCATCACTTCTGTATCAGGTATACTCTTTACCCAGTGTGGAAATAAGTGTCACATACATGGGTAGAAAGTGGGAGAATCACAACCAAGAAAAGAGAGAAAAACCAGGTTGGTTCAAACCCGAACCACAGTATACTATAATCTTAATCCACATGAAGAAAGACTGTAGAAAAACCATCTACAGACAGGAATGTGGAGAAAGCTAAAAAGTATGTGCTCTAAGGTGTAGAGTGACTAGGGCACAACAGACCATACACGGCTGTTCAACTCCAGTCAAAAACCAAGTGGCATTGGGATTACAACCCCCAACCCATGATAGGAGAAGGGTCCACACTGTCTTCACCTCAAGTTGAGAAGAAGAGAATTACATTCATGTCAAACAAGTAAACTAATCAGGGCACATGTGTGCAAATCCACAACCATCCATATATCTGGGAACCCGACAACCGAATGATAAGAAAAGATGTACCAATGTGGAAGTTACCATCAAATCAAATCCAATCTGACTGTAACCCCTCAGCGACACAGCAGCCTCAGAGAGGGAAAAAACTCTGAGACACAGTGCTAGAATGAGAACCTTTATCCCTAACAACATTATCCTCCGGATAGGACCACACAGAAGTTGAAACGCACGTGTGCATAATATCAACCTCCAAGACCCAACACCGGAGACAGTGCAACGGATAACCACAAAAACCCTATATTGAAAAGCAGACCACCCCTGATTTATTCAGTCAAAGGGATGGCAGGGATGGGCAGCTATCCCCTTCTGCTTTACCCATGCAAGTCCATGGTAAAAAATGAGCATATTAGGGAAGCAAATATATTACAAGGAAAAAAACCTAGTAGCAACCTCGTGAAACACTCTATCTCAACAGTGTGCATTATTGGCAATGGGTATACATCTTGGGTGTACAGTGTGGATTTGAGATATAGGAAGCATACCTGGACAGGCAATGTGCTTGCCATTGAGTGGAATTCAAATCCTAAAACAGGACATACCTCTGGAGGGAAAAAATATATATATAGGAAATATAAGTTACTCAGTCAAAGCCACACCATAGTTTGAAAGATAGCAATAGGCAGTATCCCAACAAGGAAAAAATATGAAGATAGTGGAAGATGAATGTATGAAGTGTAGGCCACATGCCTAACTGAAGACTATCCTCCAAAAGACAACAGAGGAAAAAAGGAAAGGTGTCTGATCCAGAATAGAATCTGGGAAGACTCGTACATGGAGGAATAGACCACTTGAAGCAATTTACAATCCCAACTTGTAAAGGTAGGAGGAGAAAGGTCACATACAAATTAATGGTGCCAGAGAATGAAAAGATAGAAATAAGAACCACTAAAGGAGGCCACATGAGCAATGAAACAAGAAATAGCACACACTGAACATAGAAGTCTATCCAGAGCAGACAGAGAATAAAGGTGAGAATTGGTTGGAAGAGAAAACAACAAGAAGGAAGAATGACCCTTACACGTTGCTGGAAATAGGAGAAGGAAAGATTGATCCGGATAATGGATAACATATGTGGAATGGAAAAACCACATGTGAAAAACTGATGGTAAAGATATCACACTGATGACTCCCACTGATTAAAATGAGTAGGAATAAGTCTGAATAGACAGGTGCAACATGAAGACAAACATTCAAATTGAGAGACTGGAAGGCAGAGAAGGACAACTGACCACCAGAAGAACCATGTGAAGAAGATAACTACAAATCTGGAAGGAATGTAAATGGAACATATTGATCCAGTTCTACAATCTTGGAAAGACACAGACAGGTAGATGGATCCTGAGTAAATGGGAAGGAAATTGATACAGGAGACAAAGGTGGTGAGAAAAGAAAAAAGGATAAAAAAATCCCTCTGATAAAACTTGGATCACCCAAGAATCAGTAATGAATACCTGCCACAGGGGAACAAAATTGGTCAACTGTGCC